ATGAGTCAAAGCAAGACAACTTTATGTTTAACTTTTTTTTGTTAAGTTAATTGAGAATGTTTTGAGCAGATTAAATGCAAAAAGACATAAGATATTAAGTTTTTAATTCAGTCACCTCTATTGCTACGGAAGTGCGCCACATTTGTATGCTATTCCCGATTCCGTTTGTAGTGCGCATTACCTTCCGTCAGGCCGAGAGCCAAACTGGATCCGTTTGACGTCACTGATACGAATTTGCTCATGTAGTCGGTGCACTGAATGCGTTCTTGGGGAGCTGATGCGAATTAGCGTAGTGCGTATTTGGAACGGATCGCTCATGTAACGGAGGCACACGATTCGGGCCGTATTTCACAAGAACTATTCTTTGCTGACTGGAAGCGTCAAAATGCAAAATACTAAGCTTTTTTTTGGCTGCCTCGTAGAAAATAGCAAAAAAATGTTGGTATTTTGGTATAGTATTTGCATGTGAAATAAAATGAATGAAATATTTTGATAGATAATTTTTTTCTGACCACCCTGCTGTCGCTGCATGGCGAATCAGTGCCCACTGACTTAAAACAAGAAAACTTTGTTTTCATTTTTTGATTTCATGTTAATTTTAAATGTTTTTGAGCCTATCAAATGATATAAGTATTTAAAATTAGTTCAGTCGTCCCGGTAAATGCCGCAACTGCGCCATGACTGTACGCTAATCCTATTCCGTTTGTGATGCGAATTACCGGCCGTCGAGGAGTCAGCCCGGGTGAGCCAAACAAGATCCGTTTGACGTAGATAAAACGAATTAGTCTCATGTAACCGGTGCCGTAGATACGTTTGTGGGGAGCTGATGCGAATTAGCGTAGTGCGTATTTGGAACGGATCGCTCATGTAACCCCGGTAAATGGGGCGCCCCTATCCTGCTTGGCGAGCCCAACCTCTGCTGAAGGCTCTCCATCTCTGATCAACTTTTGTTGTGGCGCCTCTCTTCTGCTGGGGCGCCCCTCTTCTGCTGGGGGCGCCCCTCTCCTGCAGGGGGTTCTGCAGGGGGTTCTCTCTTCTGCTGGGGCGCCCCCTTTCGCTGGGGCGCCCGTCTCCTGCTGGAGGCTCCTTTCTCCTGCTGGGCCCCCTCCGCTGCCGGGGGCGCCCCTTTTCTGCCAGTGGCACCCATTTTTATTATGGGGCTTCTCTTTTTTTTTTGTTGGGGCGCCTATCTGCTGTTAGGGCGCCCCTTTTCTTCTTGGAATGGGGGCGCCTCTCTACTTTTGCTGGGGCGTCGCTCCTCTTCAGGGGGACACGTCTCCTGCCAGGAGTGCCCCTCTTGAACAGAAGGCATCTTTTTATTCTTGTAATAAGACGCCCCTCTTCTGCTGGGGCGCCCATCTGCTTCTGGGGCGACTCTGATCTGCTGGGAATGGGCAATTGGGCGTCGCTCTCCTGCTTGGTGAGCCCAACTTCTGCTGGAGGCGCCCTATTTCTGCTCAACCTTTGTTGTGTCGCCTCTGTTTTGCTCGGGGCGCCCTCTCTGCCGCGGGCTATGGGCGCCTTTTTTGGATGTCGGGGGGGGGGGGGGCGGCCGCCCCCGCCGCCCCCTGGATCCGCGCCTGTTGTAGCACGCGGTGGTATATCCCGCGAGTTGCTGGGGGGGGGGGGGCGTTAAACGCCCCCACTTTTTTCGCCGGGCCATAGCATAATAACGGCGCGCCGCAGGCGCGCCAAATTTTGGGTACCTGTAGGGAATTGATTGAAGTTTATTGTGACAAAGTTTCAAAAAAATCGGTTGGAAAATTTATGAGATATCGAGGTTTTAGTGACGTCATGATTTCTGAGTTTTCGGACAAAAACGGCATGTGTTCAAAAATCATATAAAATCACAGAATAGACATACAGACATGCCGTAAACGCCATTAGACTGCCAATACCATGGTCAATCAAATGGCTATCTTCGATTATTGATTATCGTTCCGCATTTTCCATAATCTTGAACTGAATCTTGGCAATTTTTTCGTGGCTACTTCACGACCATGATACATGAATTTCTTAAATTGAACTTTTTGAGCCAAACACGTACTCATATGATCAAATGAATGTCACCATCGTGTTTTACGCCCCAAATTACCTATAAAACATGTGTCACAGGCTGCGAATATCAGTTTTGATTTTCGGGGATATGTGCCTACCCGGTTGACCTGACCTTGACCCTGACCTATGCTTGACTGACCCCTACATGGAGCTGACACTCTTGTAGGCCTTATAAGATGGATTGTGCACCGTTTTGACAGAGTTTATGGCGAGAGGCGCCCATTGCGAAGTCCTGAAGTCCATGCTACTGAAAGCCCGATTTCAGGTGTTTGACCTGACCTTGACCCGACCTGTGACCTCAAAATTCAACTTTAAAGTACTCATCTGAGGCGTCTCGTCGCGCTCTTTCGTTTGCCGCCTCGTGCGTTTCGCTGCGCCTATTGGTTCTCGAGTTATCGGCTGGGGGCGTTTAACGCCCCCCCCCCCCCCCAGCAAACGGTGGGTGGCGAAATACCCCAGCAACTGCCGGGATATGCTGCTTTGCGCGCAACAAATGCCGCACTTTCAAATAAAGTCGCCAGGAACAGCGGAGATCCCAAAAAGTAAACAAAAGTAAAAGTATTGTATCGAGAGTACATGAACCTCCAGGCTCCACGAATCAAACTATTAAAACAGTTCTGTTTTAACAACTGTTTTAATAGTTTGATTCGTGGAGCCTGGAGGTTCATGTACTCTCGATACAATACTTGTCCATTTATAACTACAAAAGTAAAAGTCTAATATCTTGAAAACCGGTGAATATTTTTCGATGAAATTTGGTAGATATTCGTTTTTGCTCTTTCTAAACCGAGCGACATCACTTTCATGCCAATTCATTACCTAACTTTTTTGAAGGTGGGAGGGTCCCTTTAAGCATAGGCGGATTCAGGCATGCTAAGATGGTGGGCAGTACATTGAGATGTATTGTACACGGAGGTGCCCTTTCTCAGGTACCTGGGTCCGCCTATTCCAATATTTTCATTTAGAATGACGTCACATACTACATAGTCTTTAGGTGCATACATATGACGGGGGGCGCCACTGCTCACCATTACAAACCTAAGTAAGTCGCTGCTTAGCGGCAAATGTCGGAACAGTCAAAGCTGGGCCAAAACTACCCCCGAGAAACTCGTCCTGGAGACGCCTCTGCGCAAGCTAGAAACTCAAAAATTTGATACAATGTGCCCAATGAATGGCAAGGAAAAGTCACCAAATTTCAAGCCCCTAGCTAGAGTGGTTTTCCGTCGAGAGCAAAAAAAAAAAAACTACAGGTGGGGGCCGATTTGCCGCCCCCCCCCCCCCACACCAGTAATAGGGTTAAAGGGGCTGGCAGCCGTGGCTGCTAGTGTCCTATTACCCCATCCGCAAATGCCTTGGAGGCAAGGCTCCATGCCAACAGATCGACTTTCGTGCTTTCCAATAATGGCACTGACAAAGCTGCGCTTGAGGTCAGGAGCTGTCCCACAGGCATCGGTCAGTACTTTCAGTGCCTCTCAAACTGTTCAGCCCAGCCGCGACTGGGAGTTGGAACAGATGGAGACCCCCCCTTACTGCACCGATACCTTTGAGATAGTAGCGGTGCCTAAGAAATCGGTGCGTTAAAAAATCGGTGCATGCGACCTACGCAAAAATGCTGCCCCTTATCGTGCCAATCGTGAAACGTGAAACTTCACTTGCTCCAAACTCAGACGTGAAGACGTTGACAGTGTGCCTGTTCACTGTGATGATGAACATGTGGTGTGACTGTGACATCGTACCCCCTTTCTTTTTAAACACTTGACATTGCGTTAATGAAAAGCCGCATGTATGTGGATTTAAAGGTAGTGTGCCACCTTTGAAAGATTTCCCATTTTATTTTTCCTAGGATAAGAAGCTTCTGTTTTTACCTAATATCGCAAAAAAATCAAAAATGGGCCTGGAATAGTGCCTTTTTCGCCTAAAAGTTTATCGGTTTTTTGATATGTATAACAACTGTAGTGGGCTGACCTGCAAACAGGCGTCGGCAACAATCGCGAATGCGGCGCACATGTGACAACAAGCAAAGGTCATTATAGAGTTACGACGTACGGGAATGAGTTATCAGCTGTCTAATCGTAGACAACACAATGTCGAGCCTTAAACTGTAAGCCTGTATTGGTATTACTTCTTTTATTTGGCTGTCGAACATTATTTATGGTTTGAAATATGATTTTATGTAAAATAATTGATATGAAAAAGCCGTCTCTTAAGTTATGACCCCATTTCACCACACGCAAGTGGCAGAAATGACAATGATCAGCTGACGCATTTTTCTTGACCGAAGTCAGAGCGCGCGGCCCGACGCACCACCACCGCACCACAAAGTATGAGCAGAAGCCGCGCCCAAAGCCAGGGCCCCGGTAACGTGAGGTAGCCGAGTCGGGGCAGCGTGCGCTGACCCAAGCCGGGGCCGCAGCTTTGGGCGCGGTCTACCGCATCCCCGCGGGCAGCCCCGGGCTATCACAGACACCGGGAGGACGCGCGGCCCCGGCTTGGGTCAGCGCACGCTGCCCCGACTCGGCTACCTCACGTTACCGGGGCCCTGGCTTTGGGCGCGGTCTACCGCACCACCTAACAGGCGTGTTCGAAACCGCAGGAGATGATGATGAACGGGTTTATCGAAACTTGATTGGATGAGCATATCGGTAATAGCGATTTCAGTGTGTGCATTTATTGTTCATAGTGGTGTGAAATGTGGTTGGGGTACGACCGACAACCCGTCGGGGCGAATTTCGCACTGGGGTACTCAAAATTTGAAGAATTTAAGACGTTTCCATGAGTTTTGAAGGTATGGATAAGTTCTAAAAATCCGGTTCTCCTTATCTGGGCCATTAACTCCATACGGTCCAGGAAAGCTGGCACACTACCTTTAACGTGAATAAATGAACTTGTGCCAACCAAGTTAAAGAAAACGACATTACTGAGAGTAACTGCATTTGTTACAGGAGCTGCTGCAATGTTTTTTCACATATCGCTGGAGCATGAGATTCTTTTGCATCCTCGCTACTTCGGACCACAACTGCTGGAGACTGTCAAACAAAAACTATTTTCAGAGGTAAGGCGGTTTTTGAACGTGTCGATTGAGCTTTAATGCAAAATTGACCACAGGGGCGTCGCCTCGGATTTTTGAGTTGGGGGGGGGGGGGTCGGGTTTCCGGTCTTCGTCTTGATGAGTAGGGGTGTTTTAGCCACACTCCCGGTTTTTTCGTGTGTTGAGAAAAACCTCGGCGCGCAGCGCCACGAAAGCAGCGGTAGGGGAGAGTGGGGTAATTTGGCCGGTGGTGTAAATTGGCCGCCCCCACCTGTACGATGGATAATACAAGTGAGTGAAATAACTCTAGTCTCTATTCATTTGTCATGGGTAGACATAACTGGAGGACAAATGTCAAAACTTTGCCCCTCGTAGTTTTATTCAAAATTAATAAAACGTTAATTTCATTAGAAAATGGTAACTTTTACTTCTGTTTACAAAGTTGTATAACATGTAGTATTTGGGCTAAAAACGACTTCAGACATTATAGCGCCATTCTTGGGGGTGTTCAGCGGTTCCAAGGGCAATTTTATCTAATTCCGTAAAGCCGTGATGACTTTATAGACAAAAATTTTCAGAATGGTAATATGGGGTAATTTGGCCGGGACTAGCGGGGCAACTTGGCCGGTGCGCTCATGGTCACTATGCTGGGACGGCCGAGTTTTCATGGTCAATTGTACCATAAATGACATGATTCATGACAAACTTTGACTACTTTGATGCCTTACTTCCGATTGGTCAACTGTAAGAGCATGTGACGTCATCAAAGGTTACCAAACCTTTTTTGCTAATAAATCCTTACATAAAAATGGTACAGCCGCACAAATGGTCTCATTCTGTTCAGTTCGCCAAGGCGCATCGAATGATATGCATGATGACCTTGAAATCACGTGACCTTGAGGTCAAGCGACCTGATGCAACGTAACCTGAGGTCAACATTTGACCTTGACTTCTCAAGGTCAACACATATATCTTTCGATGCGGACTGACGAGAGAATTACGATGGTACTCGAAGTTTTGGCCTAGCTTGATTACTTCAAAAGTTATTCGTAAAAACTGTGATCGCATCTAGAGCCGCTAATTTGGCTATTTTGACCCCTGTGACCCCTGAGCCAACCTCCAAAAAGCGGCAAATGCGTCATAGGACACACGTCATTGCTGAATCTGAAGCTGACTCGCGATATAACAGAAAATCCCGACCGCAAACTAACACCGGCCAAATTGCCCCACACCCCCGGCCAAATAACCCTGCTAGTGGGGCAATTTGGCCGCCTTGCAGACCTTTGTAATACGTCACAATTTCAATGTAGTAATTACTCTATCATTTCAAATTCACTGTCCAGTAAAGTAAAATGAATGCGACACCTGCCAGCGTTGAGAAAATGCAGAAATGTGTCGTCATTTTTAAGTTATATTGTTTTCTTAAAAAACGGCCAAATTACCCCACTCTCCCCTATATCTTATTGTACATCACTTTTGCATCGTGCATAAAAATCAAGCACAGGTCACCTGAGTTCAGGTCACAATGCTATGTCAAGTTCAGTTTTAATGCATCTAAAAATTGCAATATTGTCATTCCTATAGAGTATCTCCTATAAGTCTGAAATTTGGTGTAATGAATGGGATTATAAGTGCCAACAGTTCATGAATCTGGGATTTTACATCTGAGAAGTGAAGTCAGGTCAAATATGTGACTTCACCAATCATGATAAGATATGGGAAAATGCACGAATGCCTTCTGCTTTGAACGAATATGCTAAAAACGCTAGATACTTTTGTAGCCATGGCACCTCTGCTCATTTTAGAGACAAGGTGCAGCTAATGACCAGTGGTGACTCGAATGGTCAGTCATCAGGTCATCAAAGGTCTCTAACACATTTTCGATAACAACTTTTGATGGAGACGCTTTAGAGCGATGACAGCACCTGGAGTGTGTTCAGCTCAGCAACATGGATCGATCCATATGCAGCAGGTTCTTTTCCGGTCAGGACATGAGACATGACCAGGACATGACATGACCGCGGGGTTCGCGACCCCTGCGACCCCCTCCCCCCGTCGGCGACGCCCTTGATTGACCAATGATAATTGCTAAGCCTGTCGGATGAGTTCCAGTAGCGGCGGAACACCTTCATTTTAAGGGGGGGGGGACACTGCCGACTTTTGGTCCCATTCTTTCCATGCAACGCCAGTAGGGCTAATGTTAAAATGGCAAAATCAAGGGGAGAGGGCACGGTGCCCCGGTGCCCCCTCCCCCCGTTCCGCCGCCTGTGATGAGTTCCAGAGTTTGTGTGCAAGTATTAGCACACCTTCGACAGGGTAATCCAATATCATGCTTGATATGCAAACGACATCAGGCAATTGTTGAAATCCAATAAATGGGAAGAGTCCGTGTCTGAGGTCGCCTCGCCCCTTTCCCCAAAGACCAGTGTGATCGCTGACGCGGCGCTCCGCAGGTGGAAGGCACGTGCACGGGCAAGTACGGCTTTGTCATCTCGGTGACGACGATCGACAACATCGGCGCCGGCCGCATCCAGCCGGGCCGCGGCTTCGTCGTCTACCCGGTCAAGTACAAGGCCATTGTGTTCAGACCGTTCAAAGGCGAGGTCCTCGATGCAGTCGTCACACAGGTAATGGAATGGGACGGCAGGCTTCTACGCTGCCGGACATTGCAGACATTGAAACCTATTTCCATTGATAAGCAACTCACTTAATTGCCAGCTGTGCCAATAGCTACACACTACACAGCTATTTTTTTCGATGGCCTGGTGTATTATTCAGGGCTGCGGAGTCTGTTATTTCGGTGACTCCGGCTCCGCTCTCACTCAGAGCAGTTAAAATCAACTCTGACTCTGGTCCGACTCCGGGCATCCCTCGTAAAGTCCGTGCGTGAGTCAATGGAGTTACAGATGTCTGTGTGTGTTGACTGGATTTGCCTATGTCGTTGTGTGTTAGACTGGATTTGGATTTACCCATGCCGGTGTGTGTTAGGCTGGATTTGATTTCAGTGCGTGCGTGCGTGCGTGTGTGTGTGAGACTCGGTTTACCGATGTCCGTCTGTGTGAGGGGCCGATTGTCCCATAAGTTCGTTCTCACCTGAATTTTTCTTTTAGAGGCTCTCGTATTTAAAGGTACGCTGAATTCATTTCGTAACTGAGCTGATGGGGTTGCCATGGCAACTGACAATATGCTCCACAGAACTTAAATTCTCTAGACAAAATATTTTTTGCTAGAGAGTCCACTTCTTATAGAGACGGCTAACGCCCGCAACATAGAGGTCTCCGATACGGGTACGCTTCGGTATTTAATTAGCACGTGGGCCATTAGGGACGATTGAAGGTGATTGAGGCCATCCAGTCTGTAGCCAATGTCCATCGCTAACTGGACGCACAGTCAGCAAGTGACGCCGATGATTTGTCGGCAGTCAATCACTGCAAGTTTGTCCTCTCCAGTCAGCCTTCAGGGGTGAGCCAAGTGGCCAAAACTGTGTGGCGCCAGAGTGGCCATCAAAAAGGTCAAAGGGTTAGAAAGTTGGTAAGCAGACTTTTCAGGATTGATAACCAGCTGCCTTAGAGTATCCTTTCGGGGTACATAACTCACGATCACTTGGGCTTAAGACTTAATGGAGGACTAAAAACAGTCGAAACAGTCAGTTTGAAGGAGAAAATTGCATACGTGAGGTCATAGTCCCATCTTCAAGCAAGACAGTGCATCAGTACACAGATCAAGCAAAGCTTATAAGTGGTGCAAGGAGACTGTGACAAGCGGTTGTGGCAAGATCACATGCCAGGCAACTCATCGGATCTAAATTTCATAAAAATTTGCTGGTTATACTTAAATTGAGGCTCGTCGAAGCGAAGCGCTGTTCCAGCCTCGAGAAGCTCACGGCGCATGTCAAGTCAGTCCGGGCTAACTTCAAGCCTGCTATGCAGCCAAACATGTCGGTTGGCATGCCGCAGCATGCATTCATGTGTTTGCTCATTAAATGGGGAGCACATTGAGGGGTCATAAACATATCAAAACGCAATATACTCTGTTTTACATGCAAATATAAGGTGAGAATGAACTTTGGGACACCCTGTACTGGCTGATGTCCGTGTGTGTTAGACTGGATTTGCCAATTTCCGTGTGTGTTGGAGTGGATTTGCCGATGATCGTGTGTGTTAGACTGGATTTGCCGATGTCCGTGTGTGTTAGAGTGGGTTTGCCGATGTCGGTGTGTGCTAGTCACTGGCCGTGTCGTCTGCCTGCAGGTGAACAAGGTGGGCCTGTTCACGGAGATCGGCCCGTTGAGCTGTTTCGTGTCGCGCCACTCGATCCCCAGCGACATGGTGTTCGACCCCAACTCGAACCCGCCCTGCTACAAGACCCAGGACGAGGAGGTCATGATCCAGCAAGACGACGAGATCCGGCTAAAAATCGTCGGCACGCGAGTGGACGCCAGCGACATATTCGCCATCGGCACACTGATGGACGACTACCTGGGCCTCATCAGCTAGTGGGCGGCGCGCGGCGGTTCGGTCCGGCGGTTACAGCTCCGCTCCCCAGATTCCGGAATACCGCCGAGCTGGCGGCGGCTCAGAGGAACCGGCGGCCGGCCTCTGAGCGCCATCGGAGAAGTAGTGGGACTCTCCGGTACCGGGCGGCAGTGCCAGCGCAGTGCCGGCCCTGCCGCTGAATGCTACTCGTCGCTTGGGTGGTCGGCGCACCGAGTCTCAGTCGACTGCTGTTGGGCTGGGGACCTTAGGGCTCATTCCGTGTTGTCAGTATCATCACCATTTTGTTAATGTGCATCCTGTGAAACTATCGGATTCATGGTAATACACCCGTCCAGGAAAATTGTTTGGTTTTGATTCTGAGCGTTGTTTACAGGTGTAAGCGCCTTTCTACCTGCGCACGTTTCTGTTTCAAGCGATAGACATGCGAGGTAACTTCATTCGTCGGTTCCAAGAAGATTGTATTGTATCTTCAAGTGGTGCGAATTTCAGAAATTAGAATAGGTAAAATGTTGATGCTGTTTTTAATGCCCATAATTCCCTGTAACTACCCTAGCTGAGTTCAGAGTTGTCTATTAGTAAGTAAATGTCGAACACGAATCTTAGTGTATTAGTGTGATATCACTGGCGGATCCAGGGTTTCAGCGCGGGGGGGCATACCAGGTAACGGAGCCAAACCTAGGGTACCCCCAAACCCTGTTTTCTCATCGGATTTAGGCCACTTATTTTTCGTCATAGCCCTGATACGATGGTTTTTTTTTTGTAAGCATGGTAGGCCACCTGACCCCACTGGCGGATCCCCGATCCAGGGCCCAATCTTATCAATGTCGTAAATAGGATTTGGCAGCACTGGCCGGAGTTGACGGCACTGATATCAAATATATCCTTTTTTATAACCAGCTTATCTTGTCCAATGATTTTGATAGCATTAATGATTATGAATGTTGCCTGAACGAATGCATAACCCAGTAAACATGCCGACGTCGGCCCGACGTCGGGGTGACGTCGGCATCTCGGCATCGGCATGCCGACGTCGGTCCAACCTCGGCACGACGTCGGCTGGATGTCGGATATGCCCGCATGTACCGACGTCCAGCCGAGGTCCAGCCGACGTCGGACCGAGATCAATTGCTGAGGTCCAGCCGACGTCGGGGCGACGTCGGACCGACATCGGCCGCTGTTTTGACCGTTAAAATAATATAAAATACATGTTTCATGTTTCATAAAGAGCTTCTGTATTCAAAATATCCTCAGGAAACTCAAATCTTCATTCTTCCTCCACGCCGCAACCATCTGATCCGGACTGGACGGGAAACTTCATCCCATTTGGGATTGCCTGTAAGCCAAGCTCGCCCGTAACCGGGTGCGGTGAGTGCTTGGGGGCTGCTCGGCCTATCCTTTGGTCAGGCTCAGCCCCAGCAACTCACCAGGGCCGGGCCCAGTTCAAATAGAAAGGCCAGTCGGCAAGTGTCACTTTGCCAAAGTGCCACTTATCAAAGGGACACTTTGAGAAACGTTGGTGCAGGTGTGTAAGAGTGGCTATACGAATCCATTGTGGGGTCGCCCTTTCCAATAAGTGTCACGTAACAGCAATGGGACCAGGGACTCTATATGAACTGGACCCAGGGTGCTCGCCAAGAAGACCAATGTCTCCATCCTATCATCCTTCCGGCTCTGAAATGGTCTTGTCAAACCGAAAGGGCATAACCCAACAAAACAAACTAACCTCGCTATTTGGGCTGCGTGGTGTAGTGGTTAGCGCACTAGCCTCGCGTTCAAATGACATGGGGTTCGAATCCCATCGCCTGCTGATTCTTTTGGCGTGTTGTCCCAGTAAACATGCCGACGTCAGCCCCGTCGGTCCAACGACAAACGATCTCGTCAACCTCGGCAAACGACCTCGGCCCGACGTCGGCTCGACGGCGGCTGGACTTCGGCTGGACGTCGGAACATGCGGGCATACCCGACGTCTAGCCGATGTCGGGCCGAGGTTGAACCGACGTTGGGCCGACGTCGGGCCGAGCCTCGGCCCGACGTCGGCATGTTTACTGGGAAGTGAATGTAGAATAGTTCTGAATGTTACCAACTACATTCCAAATAACCAAGTTACCAGATACATTCAAAACTATTCCACATTCACTTATTCATTCGTTCGGGCAACAATCATAATCATTAAAGGAAAAGGGCCACCTTTAACATGGGGATTGAAGCTGAGATAGCCATCTTGTAGCCCGTGTCCGAAAACCTACTTGTCTACCTCCTTACGGCCGATTTCGGCCTCCATTCGTAGTTATCGGCAATTTTAAAAGAAAATACGCCAGGAATGCGTCCTTATCCCAGGAACCCAGTAAACATGCCGACGTCGGCCCGACGTCGGCCGACGTCGGGGTGACGTCGGCAACTCGGCATCGGCATGCCGACGTCGGCCCGACGTCGGTCCAACCTCGGCACGACGTCGGCTGGATGTCGGATATGCCCGCATGTTCCGACGTCCAGCCGAGGTCCAGCCGACGTCGGGCCGACGTCGGACCGAGATTAATTGCTGAGGTCCAGCCGACGTCGGGGCGACGTCGGACCGACATCGGCCGCTGTTTTGACCGTTAAAATAATATGAAATACATGTTTCATGTTTCATAAAGAGCTTCTGTATTCAAAATATCCTCAGGAAACTCAAATCTTCCTCCACGCCGCAACCCCCTGATCCGGACTGGACGGGAGACTTTATCCCATTTGGGATTGTCCGTAAGCCGAGCTCGCCCGTAGCCGGGTGGCAAATTTACAAACTGTATACACGTCTTCGGAGACCGAGCCGTGACGTCATGCCAATGGGCGGAGTGAAAGGCTGTAGCGGCGCTTGGCAGGTGACGTCAAGTGCAGGGGCGGAGCGGAAGACTCGCGGATCGTGGAGCTTACCTACTCGATGAGAAATTGTAATGTTGTGTTGAATATTTACAACTAGCTAAAACCCCTGATCTTGTTTGGGAAAATAGTTCATCCGAAAGACCAAGTTATACTTACGATAGCATAATTGGTAAACACAGTTGCCTGCAAAGTTTGAATGTCAATCAGACCGATCGTTCATCAAGCGCCTGTGGCCAAGTGGCTATGATCCTGGCATATCGCCTAGAGGGGCCGAGTTCGATTCTCGGGGCGGCGAGTTTCTCTCATGAGCTTCGACGTCTACTTGAACGGTTTTACGTAAGCCTATAAGTAATATAAAGCAAACCCCTCTTATTGACGAACGCGGTTGGCGGCTCACACGCATGTTGCAGGTCAGAGTGGGTGGTATGAAACGACGCGTCTCGACCGTCTCTGTGTTGTTTGCTAGGTGTGCGCGCTGTCAGTGCACGGGTTTTGTGCATTTCGCCGAAAATCATTCTGGATTCTAATGAAATCGGACGTCTAAATAGGCCGACTCGGCGGCGCTCTGAACGGCAGACGGCTTAAAAGATCAACTTGAAACTTATACGCCCGACTAGCGGCATCGATTTTGGCGAGGCACTTTTCGGATCTCTTAACTATGCTCCAAAATGCCGAAGATCCGAAAAGTGCCTCGCCAAAATCGATGCCGCTAGACGGGCTATAAGTTTCAAGTTGATCTTTTAAGCCGTCTGCCGTTCAGAGCGCCGCCGAGTCGGCCTATTTAGACGTCCGATTTCATTAGAATCCAGAATGATTTTCGGCGAAATGCACAAAACCCGTGCACTGACAGCGTGCACACCTAGCAAACAACACGGAGACGGTCGAGACGCGTCGTTTCATACCACCCACTCTGACCTGCAACATGCGTGTGAGCCGCCAACCGCGTTCGTCAATAAGAGGGGTTTGCTTTATATTACTTATAGGCTTACGTAAAACCGTTCAATTAGACGTCGAAGCTCATGAGAAAAACTCGCCGCCCCGAGAATCGAACTCGGCTGCTATAGGTGATATGCGAGGATCACGGCCTCTTGGCCACAGGCGCTTGGTGAACAATCGGTCTGATTGACATTCAAACTTTGCAGGCAACTGTGTTTACCAATTATGCTATCGTAAGTATCCTCATCCATGATACTCGTCGCATCACATCAATCAAACAATCAAAATCAATCACGCTGCAACCATCTATCTATACCAATACGGCCTTGGCAACGATTGTTTACAAACAAAATCGCGCGCTCGCCGCACTGCGCCGCTCGCCGCGCTGTGAAAACAGCTGGCTAACCAACTTCGCTCCGCCCCTTCTCTGACGTCATGGCCGACGTCACGCCAGCGGCTGGTGCAATATGATTGGCGCTCCGAAGGCGTGTATACAGTTTGTAAATGCGCAGCCGGGTGCGGTGAGTGCTTGGGGGCTGCTCGGCCTATCCTTTGGTCAGGCTCAGCCCCGGCAACTCACCAGGGCCGGGCCCAGTTCATATAGAAAGGCCAGTCGGCAAGTGTCACTTTGCCAAAGTGCCACTTATCAAAGGGACACTTTGGGAAACGTTGGTGCAGGTGTGTAAGAGTGGCTATATGAATCCATTGTGGGGTCGCCCTTTCCAATACCTAAGTGTCACGTAACAGCAATGGGACCAGGGACTCTATATGAACTGGACCCAGGGTGCTCGCCAAGAAGACCAATGTCTCCATCCTATGATCCTTCCGGCTCTGAAATGGTCTTGTCAGACCGAAAGGGCATAACCCAACAAAACAAACCACGTTCGTCAGCTGGCTGCGTGGTGTAGTGGTTACCGCACTAACCTCGCGTTCGAATGACACGGGGTTCGAATCCTATCGCCGGCTGATGCTTTTGGCGTGTTGTCCCAGTAAACATGCCGACGTCGGCGACTGGGGGGCTCGAATCCCGCCGCCGGTTGAAATTTTTGGCGCATTGTCCCAATAAACATGCCGACGTCGGCCCCGTCGGTCCAACGACAAACGATCTCGTCAACCTCGGCAAACGATCTCGGCCCGACGTCGGCTCGACGTCGGCTGGACTTCGGCTGGACGTCGGAACATGCGGGCATATCCGACGTCCAGCTGATGTCGGGCCGAGGTTGAACCGACGTTGGGCCGACGTCGGGCCGACGTCGTCATGTTTACTGGGAATGCGTTCTTATCCGACAATACAGCCACCCGCGGCGAGGCTTTGGTTTTTTACCAATCAGCTCCAACCAGCTCAGCTTTAACCAATCAGCTTATCTGACACAATCCGACGAGTCTGTCTTCTGAACGCTGATTGGCTTGAGTGTGACGTCATCGCTATGCCATCATACAGTAGGTGCCGTAGAGAGTATCAACATAGTACCAATATGTTAAATAGTTTTAAATACTTTTTCGCGAATTGTGCACTTCTGGCACCAGTTTTAAAAAGAAAATGAAAAATAATAATGTCAAAATGAAAAACAACGATATCTTCATATTTCACGAAGGTGGCCCTTTTCCTTTAACGCTACCAAAATCATTGGACAAGATGCCTGGATGTAAATAAAAAAGGATATTTTTATATCAGTACCGTAAACTCCGGTCAGTGCTGCCAAATCCTATTTACGGCATTGGTAAGATTGGGCTCAGGAGGAGGGGGCTTTTGGGACAAATACCCCCCAGCGCCAGAAATCGACCCATGTTTTTATATTAGTTTGTTGCCCCCCTCACATTGCCCTACTAGACGATTAAAAAAAATCGAAAATACAAACCTCCAGCCTCAATGCTACCTAGCACAAAATTTTGCGCCGAACCTCAGTCCTTTTTAACATTTTTAGCATTTGGCATAGGTCGAGTCAGGTCTGGTCAGGTCAGCCAGTAAGTGTTACGCCCAAGGCCTTGGGTTTATCGTTCCCAAACATGGGAACGAAAATGCGTTCCCGAAAATGGGCACGCTTGACCATAGTTCCGCCTATTGTACTGGGATCGTTAACTGGTTTACCAATACCATAAGTAAAAGGCTGTTCAATAGGTATATGACCACTACCCAAAAACTAACTATTATAGGGTGGTATTTTTTTCTTTCAGTGTACATCATTGAGGGTCCATTGTACCAACTTGGTATCGGTTTGGTATCGGTGTACCGTGTACCTACCTAATAAAAGTTGGTATCCGATTGACATCTCTAGTAAGTAGTAACCAGGCCTTTACAACAAAATGTTTTAGTGGCCGGTTTTTATTTCAGACTGACGCGCTTGTTGCATTTGTAACGCTAAGTATCACTCTATCCACTGAACCCTACATAGAAATAATGTCTTTATATCTATCTATGCACTCTATTGCTATCGTCTGGATAAAGATAGGCCTCTCTTGCCTGGAGGCACAAGTCAAGATCGTTTTCATGTGATTCTAAATGCACTCTTAATGGTCCGCAGACTATTAATACCGTTTGCCAAGTTTATAGACATATTCGTCCAAGGAGACTGCGAATTTGAATTCGGGGTTAGTCTCAAACGCAGTTCACACATGACCGTCAGTCTGTCGGTGTCGGGCCCGTCACCGTCGACCTGACGGCCTGCAGCCCGTCAAACGAAAGTTGAGATTTGGTAGCTCCCATTGGCTGCCATATAATGTGACAGAAATGGCGCACCATTTTCGAGATTGACGCAGATGGGGGAAGGGGATGGGGGAGAGGGTAGAGGCCGAGAGGTTAAAATATTATTTGAATTACAGAAATAAATTACCACGCATTTACATTTTTATGTCAAATAATGCTGCAACTTTATTTAAATGAAAGACACATCGGTTCGTTGATTTAAATCAGGGATCGAATCTCAAGATATCGTGCCGTAATAAATACTTTCATCTCAACAAATGGATGGAAAATGGTATAAATGATCCTAAAAATGCATATAAGCTTCATGCTGCATGATAACGTTCCTTTTCCTCTTCCTCCAACACGCAGACATTCAAACCGACGGGCCCGTCACCGTCAAAAGTTGAACATTGCTGAACTTTCCAAAGCGACGGCCGTCAGGTCCGGCGCCGGCGCAGTCAGCTGTTGCCGGCCGTCGAACGCCGCCGGTTCACACATGCCCGTCGACCTGACGGCCGTCGCTCCGTCGGTTTCGGCCGTTTTGACGGTGTCGGGCCCGTCACCGGCAGACCTTACGGGCAAGTGTGAACTGCGTTTCAGTCTCCGTGCAAGAGAGGCCTATCTGATATATACGCATCTGATATTCTTCCAGACGATAGATTGAGTCCTATCTCAATCTAGGCAAGTTGCCCTCAATGATATAAATTTTATTTGCTTGTGTATGACATTGATTCCCTTCCCAGGTAGGTACTTGCTCTCATTTTATCAATGTATGTTGGTAGGTATGTCCCAGCTGTTGCATATATGTATTGTTAAGGACTAATATAAACCAACTTAAATGGAAATGAAACATATAGACAACTTAAAAAAACATTGTTACCCACCCAAGGACTATAGAACAGTTTCAAGAGCTCTCCTCAGTAGGCATGGATCTATTCAGGATAAAAGATTAGGTGCGTTTCACACAGCCTGCCTGGTGCCTCTGCTCAGAATGTGTAAAAAATGTGCCTTATACAAACCTTCACTGTAACCTCATTGACTTCAGACCACCAGGAAACTAAAACATTTGAACTTAACGTTGTTTTTCATCAATGCAAGCCATGCACTCATCCCAGAAGCTAGTACCTAACACTCAGCTTGTATCAGTCCACTTCCACTCCTTCCACTTCCACTTATCTTATTCTCACTGCACTGTAAAGCAGGGGCTTTGGATGAATCATTGTATTCTGTTTCAAAATATGTGACTTGATTTTGGTGCTCACAATTATGCCCATGGTAAATCAAAATGAATTAGTGTTACAAAATACAGATTTTCATTGTTGTCAGGCAATGTTTATGTAATTGTTAGGAAGTTCATACACTCAACATCCCTATACCCATAATTTCTACTTTGTTTGCAGGTTCACAGCTGTGGTTTTGGTAAGTGGAAAGGATGGCAGTGTTGCGTTTGCTGCGAGAAAGGGCCAATGGGCCATTTGGGCTCCAGCGTTGCTTATTCAGCAGCGACCCGCCGGCTGATGCGGCGCCTCACGTGCTGACGGGCCGCGTCGGCTCGGTGACGACCATAGCGCTGAACCGCACCGCATCGCGCAACAGCATCTCGGCCGAGACGGCGCTCCAGCTGACGGCTGCGCTGCGCCGGTTTGAGGCCGACACCACCTCGCCAGTGGCCGTGCTGCACGGCCGCGGCGGCAACTTCTGCTCGGGCTGCGACCTGGCCGAGCTGGCCGCCGGTGAGGAGCCGCCGCCGGGACCCGCCGGCCAGCCGTGCGCCAAGCCGGTGGTGGCCGCCGTGGACGGGTTCGCAGTGGGCGGCGGCCTGGAGTTGGCGCTCTGGTGCGACTTGCGTGTCGTGGAGGAGACGGCGGTGCTGGGTGCGTACGGTCGCCGGTTCGGCGTGCCGCTGCTCGACGGCGGCGCCGACCGCCTGCCACTGATGGTCGGCCTCTCGCGCGCGCTGGACATGATCCTGACTGGACGCGCCGTGTCCGGCCAGGAGGCTTTCGAGTGGGGGCTGGCAAACCGGCTTGTGGCCTGTGGCACCGCGCTTGCCCAGGCAGTTAACCTGGCATCCTCGATCGCCAAGTTCCCGGCCGAGTGCGTGGCGGCCGACCGGCGCGCCGCCTACCGGGCGGCGTTCGAGGCCGCCTCGCCGCAGGAGGCGCTGCGAGAGGCGCGTGCCGCCGGCCGGGGGCCGCTCGAGCGGGAGGGCCGCCACGGGGCGCGCCGCTTCCTCGCCGGTGTCGGCCGCCATGGCAAGTTTAACATCCACCCCGAGAAACAGGAGGAGTGGAACAGGCGGTGACGGCGCCGCGCCGCTCCGCTGTGCTGGTGACTGGGAGGGTGGGAACTGGGAGCAGACTGACACTGTGAAACGGAACACTGCACTGAGCACGTCCCGCCTTGACTGTGCTTGGTCAAGGTGGGACGATGATAGAGTGCCGTTAGGCGCGTCCCGAGGCGTGCTCTTGTATGCCCATTTGTTACTAGTCACTTCGGGAGAGACAGCGTTAGAGATTAAAATATATTATAAATATCAAAAACATTCGTCTGCACCCCGCCGTTGACGGGACCATCGCGCTGCGCGGCGTCCATCTGGCAAGAAGCGGCCGGTTCCGACTGCGACGCAGACTCTGTGCTAATGCCACCACCGGCGCGGCGTGTGAAGGCTATCAGTACGATGCTGTGCGCGGCGCTGGGCCCAACGCCCCCTCCCAAGCCCTGCACATCCTGAGCCGGGCGAACCGGCCGCCGATCCAGGACGGACGGGCAGAAACCGCACTGCCGCCCCTTATACCAGAACGCTGATAACTAAAATTAATCCGGCGAAACCACCTACCGCGAACGCTCTCTAGCTGCCTCGAACATCAGTTCATCACAAACAAGTGGTAGCTTTGTTGAATAATATCTCGCACGCAGCCAGCTGTGTTCGCGGGCCTTCAATCGCGGGCGCGACCTCGAACGCGCGTGCCAGCTCGGCATCCTGCTGCGGGCGTCCATGTGTGAATAGCGCGATCAACGTGCGGTGCGTCGCGGACCCACGAGTGTCCATGTGCCTCCAGTGGCACCTCCCAGTCCCGCTGGTCACCCCTCCCCCCACACACACACACTCGGAGTGCTGCGTAACCGACGGAGACTGCACTCCAAAACACACTACTGGAGACGCACACACATCACTCACAAACCTACACGCTAGACATGGGACAGGAACTGGACGGAAGAAATCACAACACCAGACGGGATTGTACATACACGGACGATGGTCGGGTAACACGGCCCACTTCTCAGCGCCGCCGCAGCAGCAGGCACCCGGCCACAGAGCACGCAATGGTGCGATGGCGTGGGTCCTGCCGGCACTCGGCAGCACGCTGTACGGATACCAGCACCCAGCGGCCGAGCGGGCCTGTGCTGTCTCTATACGTGACACTAGTGACAGACCGCCGCCTCATATACATAATCTCGGTGCCATCCTCCGCTGATCTAGCGAAGGTTAAGTAACGAGCCGCAGGACAGCGGCTCACTGCCGTGGGAGGCCGGGCTGCGAGCCGAGCCTAGAAGCGGTCCTTGGCCAGAGTGCCCGGCTCAGACACCTGCAGGTACTGCATCTCGCTGAGGTCGACGAACTTCTCCTGGTCCTTGATGTGTGCGTAGTTGGCCGCCAGACACATGAGGTAGTTGACCTGGCGGGACGGGACGGCCGCCGGCCGGTCAGACGCGTACAGTCATCATAGGTGACACTGGACACCAAACACCGGTAACAAATGGCCAGCTATCAATGCTCGATGATGTCGGCGGGCAGTTTTACAACTAGTTGAACCGCGCTTGACTGGCGCGGGGGGGGGGAGATTCTGCAGACGTAGAGCCCCTTCCCGTTTTTATCTTGTAAGCCGCTAAACGTATCAACACAAAACTTTCAGTGCCTTTGGCCGCATCAATTTGAGACCTTGTGCCAAAAGGAAAATTTCGTACCTACCCCACTGGCGGATCCAGAAAGGCGGTCTTGGACGGTGAGATGGGAATACCCCAAACAAGTTTCTCACGTCACCCCTGCAGCTGCAACTTTATCTATTGACGTCTTCTTTTCAATCACTCAGCATTAAAAAATCGCCAGTCAAAGCCATCCGTTCAGATTGGTAAAACCGCACATTACTTTAGCGGTGGACTGTACCACCACGTTTTACTAGGGTTTTAGCATAAGATTTAAAAATCGTTAGATCTGCGCTGACGTCACAAATTCTAAGGAGGCATTCCTATGCATTAGCCCCTTAGAATCCGAAAACTGCAGACTTTGAAATTAAATATCTCGGAAGTAAAGCATTTCTAGATGTGAGTGCCCAAACCGGTGACTGCAAGCCAGGGACCCCAATTTGGCTATCTCACCTCAAACCTACTGTTAAGGTGGGATGGTAACTTTAATATCGGACCCAACTAAGTAAACAGCGGAGTAACAGAGTAACGCACTGTGCGGGACGTAGCTCGCAGCAGCAGCAGCAGCAGTCGAAACAGGCACGTATGAGGAACTGATAACGATGATAACTGACTGATAACTGATAGCATTGATGACGATCGTAAAATGACCGTACAGCTGGGTCTTGTGAGAGCTCTATCGGAAGAGCAGAACGCAGTTGGTATGGGCCGCCGGCCGCGTCTGCCGCGCTCACCAGGCTGAGTAGCACCAGGAAACAGCCGACCGCCGACAGCACCAGGTTCACCTGGATGTTCTCCACGTAGTCCTTGCAGAAGAGCTTCTGCTCGCCGGCGCCGCACACCTGCATGTCCTCCTCACGCGTGTTATTGGGGAACACGAACGCTGGGAACGGAGGCCAGGCCGCGCGTTATTGGGGAACACGATTGTTAGGAATGGATGCCCTGGCCAGTGGTCAGAGACAGAGCCTGCCCCCCCCCCCCCCCCCCCCAGCTGCGCTAGCGACGATCGGAGCCACGTGGCCGGGACGGCTGAGAGGGGGTCTGCCGGTGACCCGGCCAGGTCATGCGCCAGAACGGGCACCAAGATAATGTGGTAACAAGATAACCAAGATAATACAAACGAAAGGGAAACGAGCGCCCCACAACAACCCCGTCAAAGAGCGCCATGCACCACCACATGGTGCCTTGGCAGTGCCAAGGCAGAAATGAGTGCCAACTTGGCACTCATCGTCGATACTCATCGATACTCTGCCCGCCCGCCTCCCATCGGGAGCACCCACCGAACTGCCTGAAGTCGATGCACTCCTGAAGCACCTGGACGCGGTCCGAGAGGCACATGTTCCAGAATATGGCGAACATGACGCAGCCGATCACCAGCACGCCGAACATCAGCATCCAGGCCATTTGCAGGATGTAGGCGACACCCATGAACTGGAGCACAGAGACGCGACAGCCAGCGCCACCGCTCAGTCACAACAGCATACCAATGGCGGGGCACAGTAGGCGATATCATGCCGCCATTTTGTTTTAGCACAGCACGGAGTTTGGTGCTGAAGGGAAACACCAGTTGGGCCAGTGCGGGACCAAGATTCAAATTGCGTAGAAAAGATTCAAAACGAAATGCAACTGCTTATCAGTGGCGGGGGATTCGATTCGGGGTGGGGGAGGGGGAGGGAAGGCAACGCCCCAGACGATCTGATATGCCAACTTTGCATCAATTTTCGCTAGCATACCTATGTCCGTCCCAAACTTTTACTTACGGGTCTACATACCTTGTGCGGTTAAAGGGAATAGTTCACTTTCTTGAAATCAGCTTTTTTTTACAATGGATTTATGTTTTTTTTTCTGCTCAGAATGATCAGAAAATAAAATAAAACATTTTTAGAAGAAGGATTAAGTGTAGATTGGCATTATTCGACCACCAACTTTATCGCTATTATAACGGGAGCATTGGAGCCTCACCAAACATGCCAGTTGGCGGTGGTATAACGTGTAAGTAGCAAGTGGCAAGTGCGATGCCACAGGGTAGGTAAAATAACTGCCAGAATATAAAATTGTGAACATTTTTGCTTCGTTTGCACCATATATTACGTTACAGGGTGTCCCGTAAGTTCCTTCTCACCTAAATTTTTCTTTTAGAGGCTCTCATATTTAACCCTCGCCGGCACAGGCCATTTTGCGTCCTTCGACGGCATAAGGGATGTTGATCAAGACAGCCCATATTCAGCCCAGATTCAGCCCGGATTCAGCCCAGATTCGGGACACCTCCGAACAAGCTGAAACTCGCACACAATGTAGGCCATGACATGCCCAATCCACAGTCCAAGTCATTCGGTGGCACTCCCAGCCGTTTGACCTACAGAGGTCAGCAAAGGTCACGTGGCCCAAATTTGCACAGCAGATTGTGGCCCACCCAGTAGAGCTAGAGCGCTGAAAATGACACCAATCGACTCGCCAGCATCTAATCTTACTTTCCCAACACTCATTTGACCTCTCAAGGTCATGCGATGACCTAAGGTCATTTGTGGGCTATGTCGAAAATACACTTGCACAGCAGTTTTCGAGTAGAGGGATTGACCGAATTCCAAATCAAAGCATATTATCGGGTAGCCCATAGGCCGTAGTAACTTTCCTTAAAAACCGCTTTTCGATATGTGACCCCGTTTGACCTCGGCAGGTCAAAATGTGCAAATAAACGACACTCAATACGTCACAGCCCGGATTCAGCCCAGATTCGGGACACCTCCGATCAAGCTGAAACTCGCACACAATGTAGGCCATGACATGCCCAATCCAGAGTCCAAGTCATTCGGTGGCACTCCCAGCCGTTTGACCTACAGAGGTCAGCAAAGGTCACGTGGCCCAAATTTGCACAGCAGATTGTGGCCCACCCAGTAGAGCTACAGCGCTAAAAATGGCACCAATCGACTCGCCAGCATCTAATCTTACTTTCCCAATACTCATTTGACCTCTCAAGGTCATGCGATGACCATCATGCGATGACCTAAGGTCATTTGTGGGCTATGTCGAAAATACACTTGCACAGCAGTTTTCGAGAAGAGGGATTGACCGAATTCCAAATCAAAGAATATTATAGGGTAGCCCATAGGCGGTAGTAACTTTCCTTAAAAACCGCTTTTCGATATGTGACCCCGTTTGACCTCGGCAGGTCAAAATGTGCAAATAAACGACACTCAATACCTACGTCGCAGCCCGGATTCAGCCCAGATTCGGGACACCTCCGATCAAGCTGAAACTCGCACACAATGTAGGACATGACATGCCCAATCCACAGTCCAAGTTATTCGGTGGCACTCCCAGCCGTTTGACCTACAGAGGTCAGCAAAGGTCACGTGGCCCAAATTTGCACAGCAGATTGTGGCCCACCCAGTAGAGCTAGAGCGCTAAAAATGGTACCAATCGACTCGCCAGCATCTAATCTTACTTTCCCAAT